GTAATTTAAGGATTGAAAGTTTAATGTTAGCTAACTTAGATGCAATCGTGTGCAAATGGTTATGCATTTGCTAATACAGACACCAAAGGTTTTTAGTATGCTAATTTGGACGAAGTCATATCACAAATGGTTATGTGTGTGTTATTTTGGAGACTAGAGGTTTTGTGTCTACTAATTTAAAACTGAATGTTCTAGATTTGCTAACTTAAGGTTCTGTATGTCTGTGTTTGCAACATACACTTTTGCTTTTGCTAACAAAGATTTTGTGAATGTTAATTTGAAAATGAATAACAATGCAATGCCTAAGATAGTTGTTAGACCCTGATATTACTAAGGGGTCGTTTGATAGTTACTGATTGGGTTAAAGTTGCCTGGGTTAGAAACTGACTGAGTTAGAAGTTCTAATTGAGTTAACTTCTGACTGAAACTTGTTGTTTGATTTTTCATCTGACTGACTATACAAAATGACTATATTACCCTCAAAAACATTTTTTTTAATATTCAACATTTAGAACCAAACACACATAATATTTTTGTACCCAAAATACCCCTGCTCATCAAAATGCCTTAAATAATAAAACAAATCAACAACACACCAATTAACTTCTAGGCATTTCATATTGAAATTGTAATTGTTTACAAAAACCAACTACAACTTCATTAATGGGAACTTTTATCAAATTAACGCCTATTAACTTCTAGACATTTGGATCATCAAAAACCTTAAATTCTTGCATCTGCTTCAAGTTATTCCAAGGCTACACCCAAACTTTAGTTTCATATACTTTTAGGTTGCTACCACCATCTGTTGCTTCAAAACATTAAGCTCTAGTTCTAGTTCCTCCTTTTACAATCGTTGTCTTCCTGCATCTCCTTTCATCATCTTAATCTTATAAATTCAACAATATTTGTTAATATAAATAAAAGATTTTATCAAAATGTTCTTTTTATCAATAACAGTTTCCATTGATTTCATCTCCATTCATTGATTTTGATCTCTTTCACTAACTCATTACGATGTGTATTAATATGGATCTAAAGTCACGAGATACTCAATTTTGACCAAGAGCACATCTTTGACTTTTCTTTACACCACGTCTTCTTTAACCCATCAAGTATTGGACAAATTTAAAACCATATTCATAAATTGTTCACAGCCACATTACGACATCATGAATCTCAACACCATTTGTAATTGATCAGGTTCGCAAGACTTAAATTCAAATGATTAAACCAATCGATAAACCAGGTAGCGCAAAAACACATTCACGACACAAGATGATTAGCACAATAAAGAATTGTAAACTGACAGAACGAGTAAACGAGAGTTGCATAATCCAGAAGAAATGTGTAAATCAGAAAATTTGATCGTTGAATCAAAATTAAGAACAACAGATTATAGATCGTAAAAAAATATACGCTAGAGCTGAGAGATTTACCGGAGGTGTTGCTCTTTGTCAGAGATGAGGGGCTTCACCGAAGCTGATGTATGTGGATAGCGATTGACGGCAGGAAGAGGCTAGAGGGAGGAGGCATTGGACGGAGGTCAGAGGTGGGAATAATCGGCACTAAGAGAAATGTGGGAGGTGTGATAAGTTGTCGCGTGAGAATGAGAGAAAGGGCAATGGAGGAATTTGTCTCGGTCGGCCGTATTTTCATCAATGACCGAATTAGTGGTTTTTCATTGACCCAATAAGATATACGGACCGAGTCAGTCGATTTTTAGGCTTAACAAACAGGTTGACCGGACCGAGTCAGCCAAAATTGCTGACCGGACCCAGTCAGCCCAAAATCAAACAGCCCCTAATATATGACTATTGATGGAAAACATGTATCAAAAGTATCTAATGTGATTATTATGGATTCAACATGTTTTTTTATAGATAACCAAACACCGAACAAAACTGTAGTGCCTTGCGAGTGCGGTCTAAACTAACCAACTTGTGAAAACCTACAACAAAATCAGGTTCAAGGCGGACCAAATTTACCCCAAATCGAAGTACAAAAGAAATTTTTTATCAAAAGGAGCACACAATGATAAGAAAAAAGATTATGGTCAAAATGGAAAAGTTGATCCAAACGCAAAATTTTATCAAAAAGTTTTTTCGGAAAAAAATAATATATTATTAAAAAGTTAGTGCTAAACCTGTTTAAATTTTCAATATAAAAAAAAGCAAAAAAAATTCAGTACTTTTTTAAATAAATAAAATTAGCTTTAATCGACAAAAATTAACAAAATATAAGACTTTTTTATATAATTAACTCTAAAAACAAAGTAATTACAAAAATTTTAAACTAAATTCATAACAAAATTAGAGTTAAGCCAATACTATAAATAAAATTTTGAATAAGCTATAAACATGCTATATATAACGTCACTAGGACCCATTGATGACAACTTGTGATAGTAGGTGACATCTTAAGATAATAAAATATAAATTGGTTTTTTAGAGACAATTAAAATGAAGTATTTCCTTTACCAAGGTAAAAGCAAGCATTTATGGTTAATATCTAAAAAGGTAAAAAATAAAGTTGATGTATTCGTCAGTAAATAAAAACTAAAACCTCTATATAATTATAATGTTTTTTTTTGTCATTTCTTCCAACTTTAATATAATAAAGATTTCAATGGTTGTAGCTTTTACCATTTTAAGAAAGGTTGATGTACATCAATTCGTATCGACTTATCCTATGGAACTTTTGAAAAGCCAGACGTATAGACGCGTGTTTGTTCACGCAATGTGTCATCAGAGCATATGGCATGTCGATTTTACTCTTATAATTATATGTGGTATATTTCTAATTCACTAAATCAAAGTGCCTAGTGCATGCATGCTGTTCTGATAATTGTTATACGGAGACGTTACTTGCCAAGAAATGATTTGATGAGACAAGTAAACTATTACGCTTAAAAAAGATATCTGATTAAATTTCAAAATAAATATCTTTATAACTACATGAGTGAAAACCAAAAAGTTGATTATTAGTCGTCCACTTCCAAAAGGATTTAATCACACCAAAAATGCATGGTATCAAAGCATTTGTGACGCATTGTGGTCCAGTTTAAACGTAAAAACTTGAGCCTTATCGAATATGACGAATTTAAATTACGTTTATATGACGATTTATGCTGCACTATGATGATCACCAAGAATTAGTTTGACATAGTAAAAAAATGCAACAATACAAAAGCATAATTAAAAGAGTTGGAGAAACTATCAAAAGGAAGAATTAGTAATACTTGGAATTATTTCTGCATATGTAATATATATGATAAACACACGACTTCTAGTGACTTCAAATATATGACCTTAACAGAGGCGGATCCAGCTAATAGCCAGGGTAGCACGGGCTACCCCTCAACTTTTTTGTAGTAGTGTAAAATCTCGATTATTTTATATACATGTTCAGCCTCTGAAGAAACAAATGTGCAACCCTTGGTTTATGGTTCAATTGATTCGTCCTGCCATGTTTTTCCCCAATTCGTCATCTCTGGTTTCCTTTTTCTCTAGACTTCATATAAATAGCTCATTTAGCCATGAGATTGAAAATGGTGGGGTCTATAGCTTCTTACGACTTTAATGTTGAGGTTTACATCAATTTAAACTTCTAACGCAACGCATTCCAAAATCCCCAATTTGTGGTTGTTCTTTTGGATCGATTCATTCTAGATGTCTTTGTGTTTTCCCATAATCCAGGTATGCTACTAAATCATGTTTAATTATGTTTAATTTTATGAAATACATTTACATGAGTCAACTTATATATTCTAATTCCAGTTCTATTTCAATAAGCTTTATGCATTTTCTATATATATATATATATATATATATATATATATATATATTTCTAAAGTCTTTTAAGTTATTTGGCTCACGTTGGACTAATTCATGCTACAAAATTAGATTATTGAGAGATGTCATCACACTAAATTAGACATGTTCAATGTTTTGAATCCATTTTGGTAAATCGATGTGAATGTATTAGTTATGGTTCTTTAGCTAAATTTGGTGATTATGTTTGTGGCCCTAAACATTCATCTACAAATCATATAGGGAATTTGGTTGGAATAGTGACCTGTTGGCTGTTGTACAGTCAAGAAAATCTACAGTGAATTTGACAAAACAGAATGAAGAGATGTGTCCCTAAACCAAGTAGAGCTAAGAAACTTCAGTGAAGACTCATCCGTCCTCAATAGGCTCTTATCAGAAATAGAACCACAACAACACTTGAGATTGAAAACATTGTTGTTCTTTACAACATCTGAATGGATACTAATAACAACACCTTGAGCTTTATCACATTACGCATGCACATCAGGTAATTTTAGGAAGAAACATAGGTTGGTATACCAACTCTAATCCTTAAAGAACTAGTTAAGAGAGATTCTAAGGTCTTGAAGAACACAATCATGGGCAATGGGCCATTCATAGGGATCTTAATTGCATCAACATATTCATCAATGGAAACATCCTACAGGTAAATATTACACCTATTTCATTCTGCGTATAAGGATTGATCTTTGAACTTAGCTACTTTCTATATATGTTTCACTATCTCCTAACGTCTTCTGCCAACCCTTTTGCATCAAAGCTCCAAATCAGCATGCCTTATAAACCCTATGATGTAAATACCATTTTACCCTTTAGTTCTTTTGTGGAAAAACCATTATGCTACCCCTAAACTTTTTTTCTGGTTCTGCCACTGCACCTTAGTATAAGAGTACCTGGCCAAACAAACTTTATAGACAATCTAGATACCGTGAATATTTAGACATGACTTCATGTGACATAATATGTGCACTACATATTATAAAAGTACTATAAACAAACTATATAGACAATCTAAACACCAATTGCATGCTTCCAATTATCTACACACCAATTGCCTCCTCCTCTATGTCAATTGCTTTAGTTTTTCTCCTTGTTCTCATCCACCTTATGCTTTCTCTTTTTTGGAGACCCTTGCTGCTGCAGCCTCTTTCATACTTAAACTTTGAT